CTGTACTTAATTTGATACATTAAAATGTTCTCATTAATGATCAATAATTGTTTAAATATAAATAAATAATTAATTATAATCGTTTCCTCAATTAAAAAATATTATTTGGGACATAAATTCGACCTTTTTTTTGATGTTTTTTTTAGGGCTTAAAAATGAAATATTTAATTTCGTAACAAATAAAATTCGATTTATTTCTAAATTTCCTGCATTTTTCATCGTTTAAAAATGTAAAATTATTATATTACTTTACGAAAAATTGGAAGAATTGTTAAGCAATCTCGATGACACGAACAAATCTTTACAAATAACAAGTCAATTTTAGAAAGATTTAAACAATATATATGACACATTTTATGTATAAAAATAAACATAAATTGGTGAGTCATGTCTTTAAAATATTTTTAATATTACGAATATTTGAATTAAAATTTTAAAATAATAATAATAATAATAAATATTTTTTAATCAGCTTTTAACCGTGTAATTATATACAGTATAAATTTTTTTTTTGTTTCTTTATTTTGTCACGAACAGATAAAGATTTTCAAGTCATGCTTATAATGTGAATAATGCTGGATGACCAGTCATGCTTCCTTATTCAATTCCACGTTCAATGATCAAGGTTCTGTCCATAAAGACAGGATATGAAATTTATTTTAGTCTTTATAACACTTTATTGACGTTAGATATCAATTGTTAAAGGAATTTTAGAAGCGAATTCCTTATTAAAAACAATATAAAAATATTTATTAAAAAAAAAAAAAAACACTAATTATATTATCCTTTGAGTCATTTCATTGTTTTTCCTGGTATACCTTTTCATTGTTTATAAAAATAAAACTATTTGTTAATGATTTGTTAACGTTAATTCCACGAATGCTTGTTTAATTTTCTTTGTTACATAGCAAATATTTCTTTGCTTAATCTTACGATTATGCAATTTATTATGTATAGCTTGAACTAGTTAATTGTTTTATTTATTTATTTATATTATTTTTTCAAGTGGTTCTTACGTGGAAACAACATTTAAAAATGCTTGTTAATGCCGACCTAGAGAAAATCATTGAAGTAAAACACGATCTCAAGTTCTGTGACCTCTCTCGTACTTTAGGGTCATACATTAAGTAGCAGTCGTGATCTCAGCAAAGACCTTAAGTCTAAAAACTTTAAATTAAAAATCGCTCCTGTGTTCTTAACACATTTCTAATCATCCTCAAAGCTAAAAAAATTAATCATTTCTCAAGCGGTTTAATGTTACTAATTATAATATCAATCCCGTTTATCGTACAGATTAAAACGTATTTTATTTATATTAATTAATTAATTCGCTTAAAATTTATTTATAAGTAATTAAATTAAATTCCTGAAAATATTACTTTAAAATTATTTACTTATTTATATAATTAGAATGGCGGAAGATCCGTTTTAAAAATCATTATTTGCATATTGTTGTACTATTGTTCTGGCACAGTTCTTTCTCGAGGGCACTAGATACTTTTTCCTTTCCATCAACTATTGATAAAATGCCTCCAGCAGTAACGAATCCCAACTGGAACCGGATGACCTAAAAATACTCGATAAGAAATGGTGAAGCATCACGCTACCGCGGGATACACATTAAAATATAATGCATACGTATGTATATATTCATAAAAAAATAATAATAATAAGCAAAAATTGCGATTTTATTGTATCGAAATTTATGAAGAGACAATTAAGAAAAGTTATATAACTTCTACATGTATACACGTAATTAAAAGATGGCTGAAAGGATGCATGTTATTACAACGAGGATGATTCATAAATAGTTATAAAATATCTTCAAAATATGCTAAATTTATTACATTTTTTTCATATTTTTTTAATATAAAAACCTTTTTAAAAGGTTAAATTTGAAAAATTCAACTTAATTTCGATATTTTTAAGCATTAAAAATTGCTTTAAGACGAATAACTTTAACACGTTTTTTGTACGCTAAAATAAAGGATTTAAATTTGTTTTTTCATATTTTATATAATTTATTCTCCCCTAAAATATATCATTTTTAAAACATTTTTAACTTATAAAAATGTCTCAATGACTTATATTTTCAATTATCATAAGTAGATTATATTTTTATATAAACAGATAAAACCGTACGTTCGTATGTCTGAAAATCTTAAAATATCACAAAATTGAGTAACTGAAAATTAAAAATATTTTAAAATATAAAAAAAGAAATATGAATGATTAAGAATTATTTTAAAAAATTTCCATGTCATTTCTATAGTTGTGAATCTTTTATACGCAGTGTAATGGAATTACATAAATTCTATCACGTCTTAGTGTGGGTGGAATTATTAACACCTGCCACCATTTAAAATAAAATAAAATAAAATAAATTACGTAAGAAAAAGTTCACAGTCTCTAAACAAAAGGTTAAATCTTCTATCTTGTAGCATATGACATAATGTTTTTAATTATAATATTTCGTAAAATACAATTCAATTCAATGCAAAGTAACCTATAAAATTTATAGTTACGTAACTTGACAAGTCAATTTTAAAGGAAAAAAATAAAAAATAAAATAAAAATTAAAGAAGAGAAAAACAATTAACTAAACAAGAATTAAATCTAAATGTAAATGAAACCCTATTTGAATTATTTATGTATATAGAAAAGTAAGAATCAATAAGTGCAAATAAAACTGAATCAGTGATAATTACTAAACAAATAACATTGAGATGCTATCTTTCTTATTGTCGGAATGAATTAACTAACATTCTTCTGGAACTTGGCCAACCAAGGGTTGTGTATAAGACGAAAATCTTTCTGGAACTCAATGTTTTCTTAGGAAATCAATACAACTACTATTCGATTTAGTAGGAGAAAAGATTAAAAAGTATATACTTTTATTGATAACTCGATTGTGTAACAGGAGCATGATCTAGTTAAATGTAATTAAAGCTGTCTTACGGAACGTTTATATTTGTTAATGGTAATTAAATTTACAATAAAACGGAAGAAGATGGAGAAATGTTAATGTTTAATTTATCAAAAATATTTTTAAATGTTGTAGGAAGGAAATAAAATTCTGCATACAATCTAATTTTGTTTTAAATTCTTTAATTATAATTTATATTTTATTAATGGTAATTAAAGTGATAGTAAAGTGGATGATGATAGAAATGGTAATATTTAATTTACCAAAAATACTTTAGAAAGATTTTTCTATATAAAATTTAATATTTATATTTATTAATCATAATTAAGCTTATAATAAGACTTAAGATGTACACATGTTAATGTTTAATTTATCAAAAATATTTTAAAATTCTGTATAGAATCTTACGTTGTTTTATCTTATTTAATTATAATTTATATTTATTAATGTGATAAGAAAATGGAAGATGTAGAAATTATAATGTTTTAATTTATCAACAAATATTTTTGGATGATGTGGAGAGGAAGTAAATTCTTTTCTACGTGAATAATTTAATATAAATTAATTTTGAATTATAATTAAATTCATAGTAAAATGGGAGGAGATTTAGAAATATTAATATTTAATTTACCAGAAATATTTTTTTAATGTTTAGAGAGGAAATAAGCTTCTTTTATGTAGAAATGTTAACATATTTTTATATAAAAGTTAACATTTGTACTTAATTATAGTTTATATTTATTAATGATAATTAAGCTTATAATGAAACTGAAGATGAAATATTAACATTTAATTTACCAGAAATATTTTAAATTGTTTAGAGAGGAAATAAGCTTCTACATAATTTGTATAAAATTTAATAATTGTATTTAATTATAATTATATTTATTATGATAATTAAGCTTATAATAAAAGTAAAGATGTGGAAATATTGATGCTGAATTTATCTCTGAGTGTTGTAGAAAGGAAATAAACGTCTTTTATATAAAAATTTAACATACTTTGTGAAATTTAAAACTGTAGAATGCATGAAATTCAAACTATCAAGTAATATTTCACGTTTTACAGCGAAGTTTTTTATCTCGAAAATTGGTTTTTTATTCTTTAAATCACGAGTATTCAACGTGACATGAGAGAAATAAAACTCGATAATTTTTTTAAAAAAATATTTCAAGATCTATATCAATTATACACATAAAATTATAAAAATAGAATTTATATACGATTAAAATATAAGATGTTTTATCAATTAAATTATCATTTTTAAACGATTTTCATAATTTAATATTTATAAATGAATAAATTATTTGAGTTTGATTAACGTAATAAAATAACATTTAAACATGGTTAATGTATTTAAATTATATTAAAGTCGATTATAATTGTTGATAATATTTATTTTTTAGTAATTAAATAATCGAATTTTTTTTTATTTTAATTTTTATTTTATTTTATTTTTTTCCTCTATGAAATCGATATTGACAAATCTTCGAATTTTCTCATTCCTTTAAAATTTAATGGAGCAAGGAACAATGATTAATTCTTATCCTCTTTGGTATTCGATGATATGTGTGGTTGAAAGAGGCTATGAAATGCTTTGTTTTCATTTCAACAACTTTCAACGCTTCAGAGAATACCAATTAGATATTTGACAATGAAATATGATGTCGAATTTTCAGCTGCCTTCTAAACACTCTTGTATAAAGTTGCTGAAATAATTTATATATATATATTTTCTTCCTTTATCGTTTCACTATGATAAGTATTATACGAGTTGAACATTTTGATAATTTATAATGCAGCTATATATAAAATTTCATAAGTTTTACTAATGAAGATCCATTGAAATGGTAGGTTTTTAAATTACCTTTTTGAAATCTTTGATGCAGAAAATGTCAGTTATCACTTCTTCTAACATAAAATAACTATAAAATAGAATATTATAGAATAGAATTACGGTTTTACGATTTAAAAAAATATATATATATTGCTATAGTAATAAGTATCAATATGTATATATATATTGAAATGGTGTATTGATAGACAGAATTGAATTTATTGAATTATTTTTCAGACCATTTTGGAAATGGAAAGGTATCTGAAGGACGAACCAAAGAGTAGAACGAGGAAGCACGTCCCAAACACCTCTACCAGTTCACAGTGGGATATATTGGGCCTACCGAAGAGCCATGATTTCTCTGAAGAGAACGATTATGTTAAATCAGAACCGGAAGATGCTTCATCGCTAGGTATGGAGAGCTGCAGCAATAGTAACACGACAGATAGTGGAAACAGTAGCGGAGGAGAGGATCATCTCAGCGTTTCTGACTTGGATTTCACGGAGCGCCCATTAGACTGCATTACAACATTAACACACGATAGGGACCTTGTGGTTAAGACATCAAAAGTGTCTAACGGTATAACTGTTAAGGGGAAAAGTTACATCTCTCCAACCTTCTATGCAGATGTTTTGACAGTAACTCTAGCGCCGAGGAATGGCTCTTTAACACCTCCTTCTTCTCCGGAAGATGCGGCAAATCAGAATAGTGGTGCTACGGTACAATTATCTATTAGTAAAGGTTCATTACAACGGAATAATCAATTGACAAATTCTATGGTTCCAATGACATTGGCTACTAAGTCTTTGCCAGCATTGGTCACTCGGCCTAGGGGACATTTTGACGCGAATCCTGATAGTAAGAGGAGAATACATAAGTGCCAATTTAATGGATGTAAAAAAGTTTATACCAAATCATCGCATCTGAAAGCCCACCAAAGGACGCACACAGGTAATATTTAATATAAAAATGAAATTAATCTATAAAAATACTTTCGCTTTAATAAGGAAAATATATATATATATAAAGAAATCTCTCACGTTACTTCAGGCAAAATCGCGACTATCCTTAAATATCTTGAGGTAAATTGAAGATATATTATTAAGGAAAAATTAATTTTGTTATTAATGAAAAATAAAAATATAATAATAATAAATTATTTAATGTCGTGTAAATTTAAATGAAATTCTTGATAAGAAATAAACTATAAATCTCGTACGAGATATCAATAACTAATCAACTATCGAATTATCGATAGTAATTAAGCTTACAGTCCAATTATAGATTTATCTAAAAATAATTATGGAGAATCCTAGAAAATAGGTTAGTTAAAGTGATGGAGGGGAGGAAAATCTATCACAACGCCATCTGCTGATAGATTCCAGAATTATGCATTTGGCTTCAGTCGCAATTTAGTGTTATTGTGTCGGCTTCTTTTGATCATTTTCGACAAAGTGACTAAATATATATATATATATATAACTTGATCGACGTCGTTTTATTTGCGTTCGAAACGCATGCGGATGTTTAAAAATATGTCCTTGACTTCACTTCCGGCAATGACACACCGGATGTTTCAACATTGTTGTGTCCTCTTATAGACATTCCACCTGGGTCTTGTTTTGCTATTCATTCTTACATTAGAGACGTTAAAGATACTATATCTTGATTTTATTTAGCTTAAATCTTTATTATTCTTTCGAAGAAGTGTTATAAAACACTAGAAAACAGTCGATAGTAATGATATTTACAAGCATATTTTTTCTCCACTCCTCTCTTCCTTCTTCGAATATTCTTCCTTAAAAATTGATTTAGTGTAAACTCCATTCACGACATTCATATTACCATTATCTACTTTTGTTATCTTGGGTAATTAAAAGCAGTTTAAGACACTTATTTAATACGACGGATACATGACCTAATTTCTTATAAACTCGATTCCTTATTGTAATGAATGACCTGTCATCTACTAAATTTTCTTTCTAACTTTTTTAACTTTTTAATTAAGTAAATGAATAATAAACAGTTAAGTCCCAGTTAACTGATTATGAGATAACGGGCAATAATATTTAAAATATTTTTTTTTATTACTGTAATATACATATTATTATCATTACAATATTATTATTATAAATTATATAAAATGAGTGGAATTTTTTAAATAAAAATATCTTTTGTATAAACATATTTTTTTATCGTCCAAATAATTGTATATAATAAGAATAAACAGTAAAAAAGTTTAATAAAAAATTACTCAATTCTATATTTGAAATTTTAAAATGTGAAAAAGTAATCAATTTTCACGTTTATTTGTCAATTATTTCTTTTTAAATATTCGGTTTTATTTCATTACTTTAATTTATTTTGAAATGATATTGACAAGTCATTTCATTTAAAAATACTTTTTCTTTATGTCACATCCGGTGACATCATAGCACCCTTTAAACACTTCCTGAAATAGAAAGAACTGTGCATATGTCTGACTGAAACTTCTCCAGTTTAAAAATTAAAAAATTAAAAAATAATAATAATAAACGAATTTAAACGAAAATATACAAAAAAATTTTATAGATTATTGTTTATATTTTGAAATTTTTTAAATAATTAACTAGAATAAAATGGCGAAAAGAAATCCTTTCAAGGATATCTGCCATTAAAACTGAAAATACATCCTTACTCTACTTTGTACCTTGTACTTTATGTTGTGAAATTTGAGACGAATTATTTTACGAGTCAGACATTAGTTTTAGAAAAATGTACTGATGAAAAGAATAATTTAAAACTTTGATTTAAAATATCCTTCCTACAAATGTACTGTACATGCCACTTTTTTTTGTATATTATTCACTTTCCATACATTAAAAATGAGAAATTTAATATTGAATATATTTAAAGACGATTTTAATGAGGTTATAGATCCGAAAAGAAACGTGATTTTTTAATTATTTTTAGTGAAATTAAATTATCTTATTTAAAAAAAAAATACCTTGCCTTTCTCCATTGTTTCTGTATACACTTTCGTGAGTTCACATCGTTTTATGACTTCACGCTTATCTAATGTTGATATAAAATTATTATAGCCTAATAACTGGCATTAGTTATGCTTTGCTTCTTTCTTTTTTTTTATGATTTTTTAAAAAATAATTTGCCTCTTATATCTAGAATATTTTAAAATTTAGAAAATTCCTTTTTAGGATTTTGTTTATCTTGCTAAATTTGGATGAAAACTAATTATTAGCTAATTTTGATTCTTCTTGTTACACTAACTGGCTACTTACAAATATTAAAAATTTAATTACCTTTTTATAATTGTATATAATCGTCTTATTGACAAATTTATTCAATTCTAAAGTATCATATCCTCAGGTTACTGAATTATCCTTTTCATTTTAATTAATTGCAGTTTAGTTAAGGAATTTTTCATGTATTCAAATATCGATTTATTCTCTTTTAAACTTAAATATATTTATTTTAAATTAAATACGGACTTCGTTTAATTATAATAAATCTTTTTATTATTATTATTATTTGTTTAAATGTATATTTTATAAGCTTTATAAATATTTTAAATACAATTAATCAAGCTGTGATGTGAACAACTTAATTTATTTTTAAAATTTTGTGTGTGTATATATAGAATATATATATTTTTTAACACGTATAAATATTTATTATATAATTTGATTTACAATGTATGAAAGAAATCATTTTGTTTCATAAATTTTAAAAGAAATAAATAGTTAAATACAGCTCGAAAGTAATTAAAAAAGCTTGTTTAAACGTCTTGTATAAACAGTTATAAAGGATGACCTAAAAATCAGTTAACCGTTTTGAAAATTAAATTGGAATTAATTAACTAAATTAACTATAAATATAATTAACTCGATTATATTTTTATTATGTTTTTTTCTTTTAACCAATTTTGCAAAAGAAGAAACACGGTTAACTGACTTTTGAGCCTCCCTGTATATTAAAATCTAAGAAGTTTAATTAAATAATGAAAACTCAAATAAGGTGTTTGTACGGAGAAAACTAAAGAAAAAATTATTAATATTTTCGGGTTATGTATATTTATTTAGTCCCATAAAAATTAGGTTAATTTTCAAATCAACATAAAAGCTTATCGTTCAATTTTATGGCATTTGTATTGTACAAAGCAAGTATTTATGAAAATAGATATTTTCACAACATAGGATCATAAACGAGCGATAAAAAAAAATCCTTCTCCCCTAATCACGTGTATAATTCAGTAATCAGGAAGTAGAGTGGGTTGGTGTGTGAAAGAATAAGGTCACTTGTATCTTTCCGTTGACTCTTGTGACAGATGTCTGCACAATCGCCAGTTAGGTCTTACTTCCAGTATTAGTTTTTATGTTTCAAGCTGTAATTTTTTTTCTATTTTTTATATATATATTTCAGTTTGACCTCCAACATTGCGGGTTATCAAACTCTTTCCATAAAACCGACTCTCCATATGGAGAGAATTTGAAGTAAAATATAAGGTCGTCTTTTAAAGTATTCTAATTTATTTTGTTTTAAAATTAAAGATTCCTAACAACGATAAAGTATAATAAACTTAGTTTATATTCATTCCGCATCTTATAATCTTAAATTAGATGAATGGTTGCACTATGAATTTGTCCTTCACAACTATTATTTAGCTTTTGTTTCATGTTTTAGTACTCTTAAATTGTAAATACATTTTAAAGTAGAATTTCTTTTTTGAAATTTAGTAACCAAGTCATAGAGTATAAAAGTTCTAGATGGATCAGAAAGTGTTTCTTTTTTTTTTTTTGTTTCATTTTTCCATTCATTCTTAGTGGCATGTAGGTTAGAATACTAAATCTTCAGGCTAAACAGGTTCTTGCTATTGACGCAATACTAGATAAGGTGTTCTCCTCCACACTATCCTCTATAGACAAGAGGACACCTGCGAATCCAATTTTTCAGGTTCAATAACCTATATAAAGTTAGATATTAGTTTTTTACTTACAGACTACTGTGTGTACCCTAAACCTTATTTTATCTTTCAGCATCGTTTTATGGATAGAACAGCTTTTTAAAAATATGTATAATTTATGAATAGGTGACGTTAAAATTTACAAACTAAGCTCCACCTCACTACAAAATATTTTCCTTATTAGGAAATAAGGTTGTGTAGTAAAGTTAAAAGATAACATCAGCATTTCATTCATTTTTATCTTGTCCTAAATATAAAATTGTTTTTTTTTCTTGTTTTATTATATTTTTACATTATTTCATAGGGACAGGTTTACTAAATTACATAGTAATTTTTGTGGGTGATATTACATTTATTTTGATAAGATTATTTTCAATTTTATGGAGCTCGTTTATCATACGTACACACAGTAAAATATATTTATTACAGGTGAAATTTAATTTCTATACTTATCAAAATTGTAAATACTTAAGTATAAATTCTTTTTTTAATGTTGTAGATCTTGTTTTACTGTTATAAATTCTATCTTTAATATTCATAAATATGTATATATACCTGGATGTATTTTTAGTACAAGTTATGTAGATTGTTAGCATTATTATTTTTATTATACGAGCAATTAAAAATTCATTATGATTTATTTTAAAGAATGACTTAGTTAATTTTTAACATGAAATTTCAGAATTCTGAAACCGTAATATAGCTATTATCCATCAGTTTTAATGTTAAATATATGACCCGAATAATTTACACAATACCATTACAAATTTCGAAAGTCATATATAATGACAAAAATGTTTGTTAAAAATTATCTGTTAGCCTAAATCTATTTTATTTTAATAGCTTCTTTTAAAATGCAGATAAAGAAATATTGATTATGGACGTCAATAGCAATGGAGAATCATGGAGATTTAAGGACGTTGAACTCATACCAGATGTTGAATTTCTCTTCAATGATTACTTCATAGAAGTACAGTTCTTTACCAGATTGCATTTTCTTGTGATTTCTTTCGCTGCATGTGTCATATGCGAACAACATATAAATGAAATAGTCGCGTATCTAACATACTAATCTATCGATAATATATTTATTTTACACGTTTAATAATACATACAAAAGGAAGGAAATTAGTTTTATTAATTGTTAAATAGGTTAAATGTTTTATCATATTTTAATAATTAAAATAATAATAATCTATTCTGTACTGTTATATTATCAATTACTTAAACGATACTTTAAGAGTAGATGAGATTTCAAGTTAGATAAGGACGTGAAAGAACAGAATCGGATGTTCTTTAAGTACACTGAGGCTCACTAGAAAAAGAGAAAGACCTTGACTCCTAGGTCCCACTTATGTATGGGCCCCAATCTGCAGTTGGCATAATGTATAATGTATCTCAACGCTGTTTTTTTTTTTCTCCTAACGTTTCGTCATGTCTAAAGCACGAAAAGAACTCTAATGATTACTCATCGGGCATTATATTTAGTCATAAATAAATAAAATTAATTATTAGTAAGATAAATTAATAGATATTTGACAATTTCTTCGATGTTCAACAGTATGAAAGAGTCATTGTTCCTGACCTCGTATGATATATCCCGGAATTCGGTAATTATTATATGCAGTTTATCCTTATGACTAATATTAATGGTTTCAATTTTTAAAAGAACTTACACAGAACTAAACGAAAATTTCTCTTTTAGAATTAATAGAATTATTTTTATTTTTAAAAGCTAGTTCAGTCATCTCTTGTGCAATTAATTACCGTAATTTTGATATATTGTAAAAGTAATAAATAATAATAATAAAAAACAGATAAATTATCTTAAACTTTCCTACATTTTCACATCAATAAATATTCAATTTATATATATTTTCGTGAGTAATTATTTTTACTCTCTTTAATTACTCGAAAGAAACGTAAACGTTTTTGAAATATATTAGTGTTAATCCTATTAGTTATTTTTCCGCATGAATTCTTTTCACGTGCTGTTATTTTACCTATATACCATTGTTCCTGTGTGATCATGTATGAAATATGGTTTTACCAATATTACATCAGACAAGACATCATTCAGTTTCTTGAATCTTATTCTCATATATCAAAGTTGAGCTAACGTATTTGCTATACTATTGGCATCTTAATATACTTAGAAGATATATCATTTTACGCCTTTTTTATTGTCTCAATCATTTTAAAAATAGCTTTCTCTCCATAAGAAATTCATCATTAATCTTATCGTCACCCTTTTAAAATGTCTTTTCGAGTGTACGAACAGCTTTTTAAAGCGAATTTTCAATTCTTTCATCCCTGAAAACTTGTCATTATTTTTACTTCTTTCGTGCATTTTATAAGTAATTCTTACTGCCAAATTTTTCTGGTATATACATTTTTTTTTTAATTTGAAGAAATATGATAATTATTATGCTTCACATTACACATAATTAACAGAATAGGTTTGTATTTGAATGCATTAATAATAGTAATAAAAACTGGGGGAGAGACTATTAATAAAACACATTTTTAGCACCAAAAACATAACGTTTATGTTCATTTACAAGCAATTTTCTCACTATTGTTAGTTCTTTCTTAGTTATTTTCACATTTTTATGAACTTTCATCACGAATGTTTAACGTGCTCTTAAAGCCAACTTCTTATTAATGTAAGGAGGACATATTATTCTTGAAATTCTTAGGAAATAATTTTTTAAAAGCCTTTCAAAGTAGATTACATTTTTTCAAAAACTTAATGGAACGGAATACCAAACTGTTTTATATACTTAGTTTTTCTTTATTTTTTCCTACGTAATCCATCTTGATNTATATATACTTTAAAATATTCAATTTATATATAAATATAAAATAATTTTTAAATTATAAGTTTAATTAATTGAGGTCTTTCTTTTAATTTTTTAATAGGAGAAAAGCCATATAAGTGTTCCTGGGAAGGATGTGATTGGCGCTTCGCTCGATCAGATGAACTTACCAGACATTATCGGAAGCACACGGGTTCGAAGCCATTTAAATGTAGTCATTGTGATCGGTGCTTTTCACGGTCAGATCATTTGGCATTGCACATGAAGAGACATCAGTGAGTCATATGGAATCAGTCATTTCACTCATAATTCTGTAGAGATTGAATATTGTAATTCATTACAAGTGAAGCTGTCCCAAGAAAAAAAATTTACAAAAAAATTGAACTATTCCGGTTGAACTGATAAATCTCTCAATTATGAGATATCAAATCAACTATAAGTCGTAGTTTAGGATATTCACTGATCCATATAAAAATGCCCTCGATAACTTCATAACAATGTTCAAAATCATTCATTCGATTTATATTGTACCAACAAGAAAAATTGAGTCGATTATCCGATGTCGATTGTCTTTTAAATCGAACGTTTCTTTCCCCTCCTTTCCAGATAATTTATAATAATTGCCATTTTATATATCATATTATAATTTTTTTTTTTACATTTTTAGTAACACGAATCCTTCATATTTACGCATTTAATTTAATTTAAAAAGTTTTCCACATTTCTAGAATTTAATATTATTTTCCATTTACGTTATGACTTTTTTCTTTCTTTTTTTTTTCGTTCGTCTCCAATGAAACGTTGCCTGTGGCTCATCTGCTTAGTATACAAAATGAGAAAATCCTATTGACAAGTAATTTTTCATCTTTAATTTAATTTACTCCTCTACATCAATATGTGTTTCTATATCAATCATGATCCATAGAGAAATTTATTTGAATACATATTTTAATTCACTAAATTATGTTCTTTTCGGGTAGGGAGAGAAAGAATTTTTTCATTTTGTTCATATTTATTATTCTTGAAGTATAATAAATTCCTTAAAACACTTATCGAATCTCGCATCATCAGTTGAACTTATATCTTACTGTCTCATGAATATCAATCAGTTCCTCCTCCTCCTCCTCCTCTTCCTCCTCTCTCTGTTTAATTAAAATGTAGAACCGTATCATAGATTTTTCTTTTTCTATTTTTTCTACTCTTCTAAGTTTATAATGCACTTTTAATCACATTCTGTCTGCAACTATATAATAATAATAATAATTCTAGAATTTCAAATCAGTTGCTTAATAATAATTTTCTACTTTAAACTAAACACAATATTATAAACCAATTCTTTCGTTAATGATAATTTTATTTTAAACTTTCTTTAAGATTTAAATTCGTTCTTCATAAATGTTTCCATGTTTTTATATGAGTTTAAAAATTAAATAAATTTATAATTTAGATACAAGATGATTATAAATCCTTGTACAACTTTAATAGTTTTGTATGTGTATTTAATAAAAATCACTGTAAACTGCATGCAAAAAGGTTAATTCTTAAAGTGTCACAGCATCTCGTAACTGTTATACTCTTCTGTACTGCCAACCACAACACAAAATTAACATTTACTCTTATTGTCGTCGTTTTGAATAGGTTAAAGAATTTAAAAAATAAATTTAAATTATTTAACAAAAAAGCTGGCAACATTAATAGATTAAAACTTCAGAAATTAGACTTTTATATGCCATTTACAATGTATTTTTTACCACGTTTATATTCAGAGTTATTAAAGTTTAAAAATTGAGCGAAGACTATTCTGTGTCAACTAGATATTTAATTAAAATCAGTATTAAAATATTTAATTTATTTTAAAAAAATTTAAAAATTTTATTTAAACGCTGTTTATTTCTTATATATTAAATGCAATCTTTTCCAGAGCTGTTTTTTTATTTATTTATTTTTTAAAACCAGTTTTATATTGTATACAGGTACCACATTTTTACTATGTCCATTACATTAAAGCATCTTCAATTTTCGATAGTGAGTGAATAATCTACAAACATAAAAAAAAAAAATACATATACTTTCGTGCCATCAATGTATCTCGAGACGTGCCACGTCTAGAAAGAAAATGTGATAATAATAAAAATAAAAAATAAAATAAAGGCAACAAACACATCTTTCGAGGCGACAAAGCACTTTATTTTAAAAATTTAAAACACCCGGAATATATTAAAGTTAACAGAAATTTGGTACTGGAAGAACACCAAACAACTGCTGAAGTTCTTATAAAATACAGTGACGCGTTACAGCTTCATGGAGCCCAGGCAAATTTAAATTTGGGGTCCTCATATAGTGTTGACTTCAGACATTTTTCTTGGGGAAATATTTTCTTATAAAAGATTGGTTTGGGACCCCCCTTCTTGCTGGGGAACCCCTGACAATTGCATCTTTTGCTCATAGGATAACGCACCACCGATAAAATATATATACTTTAAAATATTCAATTTATATATAAATATAAAATAATTTTTAAATTATAAGTTTAATTAATTGAGGTCTTTCTTTTAATTTTTTAATAGGAGAAAAGCCATATAAGTGTTCCTGGGAAGGATGTGATTGGCGCTTCGCTCGATCAGATGAACTTACCAGACATTATCGGAAGCACACGGGTTCGAAGCCATTTAAATGTAGTCATTGTGATCGGTGCTTTTCACGGTCAGATCATTTGGCATTGCACATGAAGAGACATCAGTGAGTCATATGGAATCAGTCATTTCACTCATAATTCTGTAGAGATTGAATATTGTAATTCATTACAAGTGAAGCTGTCCCAAGAAAAAAAATTTACAAAAAAATTAACCAAAATTCAGTAAAACAATTTGCAGACTCTTCACTGCCTGACATTGTTGCAATGGATTATTTTCAAATTTTTAGCAAAAAATGTTTTTCTCTCCTTTTTTTATTCTACGCATTAAAAAAATATATTAAAAAAAATAAAAGACAAACGAGTGTAGTATAGAGGAAAACAAAATATATATATGGGGCACAGAGAATGAATTTTGTCAGTCCTGATTTAATTTCTGAATTTTTTCTATATATATATATATATAAAGCCTGTGCTTAGAAGATACAACGTGGAATACTAGAATGCCATTTTTACATCTAGTAACGCTCCATACTGCCTTCCATATCCATAGTCATCTTATGTTAGTATTGTGTGTGTTTTTTTCTATTATTATTATTATTATTATTATTATTATTATTAATATTATTATTATTATTATTATTTGTAATAATTATTCAGAACAAATTCAGGAATTTGTTTTTTTAAGAAAAAAATTTTTCAAATTTATTATATGATAAAAAGATTTTATATTCTAAGTTGAGTTTTACACTAAATTTTTGTAAATAGTGGACAAAAAAAAAGATAAACAAAAAAAAAAAATTAATAATAATTAGTGTTGATGTAGTTGCTAAAATGGCCGACAGGGGGTGCTATTGAAGTATGTATAAAGATGGTGTCAAGGTTCAATCTTCATTTTTTATGATAAAGAAGTTAAGGAACTTTATCATAAATTATCGGTTGATAAGCTTTTGATGTGAATTGGTTGAAAAATACTTTTAAAAAAATTAATTAAAATTATAATTTTAATAATAATAATAATGCTAAATTTCTATTTAAAAAATACGAACAAAAGTTATTTTTAAGTAAGCATTATAAAAAAAAAATATATTATCAAAAAGAAAAAATCTTATCGACCGTTAAGAGCTTTAGATGAATTCTCCTGTTTTTTTATTATGTTTACATTCTAAAAATTTCGCTTAACAGTTAAGTTTAAGTCAGAAAAAAAAAACTGTATTTAATCATTTCACCAATTCGTTAAAAGCGAATAAAAAAAAACTTAGATTAATTAGAACAAAAAAGTTTAAAAAATGAAGGAAAAAAAAAGATATTTTTATCGGTAAACTATGTTAAGAATTTTACTGCATGTTAAAAGTTTTCGAAACATATCTGTTATTAAAATAAAAATAAAGCTTCGCTGAGTGTCAGCTAAATTTTTATGAATTTTTGAATGATGATGAAATTTTAAAGAGAATTTTGATGTAGAAAATTGGTTGTAATGATCTTTTTTTAAAGAAAAATATTTTGATTTTAATGATATATAGAGAATAAACCGTAAATAAATGCAATAAATTGTAAGATAAAAAAATTAAGTACAATAAAATTGTTTTTTAAATATAAGCAGTCCCATGCAATATTCGTAAGGTATTATTTAAAAAAAAATTAGTAACTATGATTGGTTGGCGCATTTATGTCTTAACGACGATTGGTTAAAATCGTGTCAATTAACCATTTATCGCTAATGAGATAAACGGATCTTCAGATCTTCATCAAAATATTCTTGATGTCTTAAGTAAATTAAAGCGAGTAATTTACCTTAAATAAATTATATTATATTTAAATTTGCTCCCAATATTATTTTATAAAAATTATTACATTTATTAACGGTTTATTCTGTATATTATCATCTTCCCATCATAGAATTTTCTCCTTTCAGTTTTGATTGCCTTTATATAAAGTCATATACCATAATTATAAGGTACATCCCTTTGAAGAATAAGGGATGTTGTATAAAAAGTGGTATTTGACTGCCTTATAAAACAGTACAGGTGTCTAAATGCAGTTGTGTTCCTGCTGTTTTATGCTGTCTGGTCTTTCCTATTTCTACGCATCAACATGTTACTGTGATTTGTAAATAACCCTTTAAATGCCTGAAGCTTAGTATATAGATTATGAGAATCATAACCACAAAAAAAAAAAAAAAAACGCCTCACTGCCGATTATTTGTGATGTCGATGCTGCATAGAATGATATGCTACAAAAGCAGCATCTTCAAATCATTTCAACCGAATAATGGGTAGAAATAAATAGATCAAATTGTCTTTCTTTCATTCTCTTTTTATTATTCATTAAATGGGAAGTATTGTATTTTTCTACGTCAAAAATATAATAATAATTATGGTAGTTGGGATAACAGATTGTTTATGGCCAGTAGCTTGATCAGAAGTATATCAGGATGGATTTTGAAAAAAAAAAATATATATGCTAAAATTAAAAAAAAAATTATATGACTGGTTGAAACTTAAATATTATTTAAGTTAGACTTTAATGGTCTTCCTTGTTCATTTTTTAGCAAATACGAACGAATACGGGAGCATTTGTGTTGTGTCTTTGCCATTTTGTTCCCATTCAACTAGAAAAATCCTATTGTAATTGAATACACAACGCATAATTCCTGATTGTTGACACATTTAAGCGTATTTTGCACTGTATCCCAAAACAAAAAAAAAATAATTATATATATAAATAAATAAATAAATATATATATATATATATAAAAGAGTGACAAAAAAAGTATATACATATGCATCAATCTTGTCCTGTGTTTGTGAAATAATGCAATGCCAAATCTGGGAACAGCATTTTTCTTCAAACGTAATTGGATACTTTCATTTGGGGCGCTATCTCTGATCCCCATGCTACCGAAATGACCTGTGTGATACATCTACGTATACTGTATAGTGACTTGTACCGGTTGTGGTGTACTCTTTTCTCTTCTGGCAACTTGCCAGTCTTTGGTGATGTCATTCCACGTGCAATAAAACATGCCCTTTTTGACCAATGATATTCGTTCCCTAAGCTTTGTCTGTACGTCTTCAAGAAGTGCTGTTCCCAGTATTCGGTAGTTAACGAGATACAATATGTCCTCCTCGTCCGAATTGTTTTGTTTTCTTTACGTTTTTTCTCTGGCTTTGATACTCCAGACTTGTTGGCACCAATAAAGTGGGACATAACATAAAAATAAAAATGTGTCTGTTTGTATTCTTTGTTGTCTGTTTTAAGTAATATAGAAAATGATAAGCTGCATAACAAGTTTAATATCTTTTGTAATACAGTTTTAAAAAGAATCAATAAAAAAATAATAATAATAACAACTTAATAACAATTCTACAAAATGAATTTCAATAACACTTCAAAATGGAATTATTATTTTTTCCTCTCCTTTCATTTTTTAAATTCTTAAATATTATTGTTAAACACCTATTTCCGTTCAATTTCTAAAAGTTAGTGAATTTTAAAGGCGTTGTTTGTCTACAAAATCGAAACCACCCGTTTCGTGATATCCTAAAATACTTAATAGGAAGCCTTGAGATGTACAACATACACCCTAAAATACCATACTTCTTAAAGAACAGGTCGTGAGACAATATGAAAATTTATAACGTATTACTTTAAAATAAAGTATTATTCATTGTATAACTAAATCTACGAGGCTATACACAGATTATTTTAACAGTTATACGAGAAGAAACTGTATAAATTATTGACAACTCACCCACCTACGCTTGATTATGAAGTGTTAAGCTACCAATGTATAAAAATATCTAATAAATTTATATTAATTCAAGGACACACCTCGCAACATTGTGTATATTGTTATTCATATTTAAGGACTGATAAATTATCTTTATCCATTAAAAAATATAAGGAATATTATTTTAAAAAAAAACAATATTCTAGATGGATTTTTGTTATAAGTGAATTTTACACTTAAATATTCGAAAATTTTCTTGAAAATTATAAATGAAAACATGTTTTATATTTAGTAAAATTGTTATATTTAAAAATAATTTGAAAAAATTAAGTTATTTTAATACATTTATTCTTACTTAACTCAATGTTATATGATTACCTGTGTTCTTAAACCTCAGGCGATAATTTTAAATTCAGTTTAAGTGGTGTTCCTGTTTTACAAGATAGAATCCTATATTTAGAATTACCAAGATCAGAAGAGCCGAAAATATTAAACGAAGAAGAAAAAAAGCAAGGAAAAAGAAATGACAGATTAATGTTGAAATTCGTTCAATTTTTTTGACCTCAATCGAAGAATAACTTTATATTAATATGCTGAAATAATTCTCTTCTTATCATGATTAATTATGAATTAAATTTATAATTTCGACACAAATCTTATTAACCTAAAATGAAGAGAATTATATATTAAAAAAATAAAAAATAAAAAAAAGCAGAAAAATAATTATTAAAAATATATGGCAGACGTTTATCTTATTAAAAATACTTTTTTTTTAAAAAATAAATAATTCAATTAAAGATAAAATAAATTTATTTATTTAATTTAAAACTTTTAATTTTAATATTAATTTAAATGAGAATGAAGTTAAATACTATTAATTTCATTTATCATTTATTTACATTTATAATGAGTTTCGTAGAAATCATTTTGAAGAATTTAATTATGATAATTGTGTATTGTAATTAATTAATTGCGATTAAAATTTTTTATTTATTGAATTAAATTTATTTAAAAGTTTTATATAATAATAAAAAGACATTTTTAAAGATTAAACATGAAATATTTTTAAATTTTTTTTTCTCTTTGAAGGTAAAAGATTGTTCATTTTACATAATCGCTTGAGTATAGTTACACAAAAATAATCCTCAACTGACAAAAATATCGTATGCAAATTAATACTAATTAAACTCATAATTTATGTAAAATACTTTCGATCATAAAAACAATAATGAACAAACATTAGATTATGTTCCCCTTCTTTAGTTCCATTAAAATGTTCCTTTTTAAAATTCAGGATTACTTAATATAAATGTAAGAAAATTTGCACAAGTTAACTGTAAAATTTAATCACTATCAATATCAAAATCTGAATCAGTATTAATGCCAAGTGAACTCTGCATCAATAAGTTATTAGTGAGAGCAAATCTGCTTTAGTATTAATATTCGTAATAATCCTAAATATAAGTGAAATCAGTATCAATATAATCTACATCATTATTAGTATCTGTAATCGGTATTGGTATTAGAAAAATCTATATCATTGTCTGTAAAATCTGTCTTAATATCAGTAAAATTAGTATCAGTATAACAATATTATTTAATTTTTAATATTTATATTCTTTTCATAGTCAAATCTATATCATAATATATCTTATACAAACTCATCAAATTTTTAATACTAATTACTAATGCAGAGTATGATGATATTATTTTACTGATACTGATTTTACCGATATTAAGACAAGTTTTACGGATATTGATAAAGATTTTACTAATCATATCACTAATCAATATTGGTATTGGCGAAATCTATATCATTATCTAAGACCTGTCTTAATATCAGTATGAGTAAGGTAATATCATTATTAGTATTATTAGTATCGTGATTTTATGAGTATTAATATCAATAAAATCACACAGTAAGCCAAATTTGATATTGTACAATGTATCATATTTAACAGTACGTCATTATTAAGATTCCAAAAATCGATCTTAGTATCAGCAAAATCAGTAACAGTGAAATAAATATCAATAGAAATCTGTGTATTACAATCAGTATAATTTGTATCAAAACTTATAACGTCCTTCAAAATGTTTTCACCGTAAGGTTAACGACATTAATGTTAAAGAATCAAAATAAAAAAACAATAATTTATTTCTATAAAATATCTGAATAATGATTTTACTTGATAAATGATCAATCACACATTCAATTCAATAACGAAAGAGATATAAATGACATTATAACCTAAATAAGTAATAAATAATATCAATAAATCACTTCCAATACTTTATTTCTGTCTTATGACATAATCGAAACCATTAATAACAGAGAAAAAAATCATTCTAGATACTTTCTAAGGATATAAAAATATAAATAAACTATATACAAAGATATTTCAAAAATTCTGTTTATCATCTTGAAGGATAAATAGTTGTAATTTTTATTTTATTTTATTTTTATAAAATAATGTTAAGAGACGAAATTTTTGATTGAAAATTAAGCCATTATTATTACTTTAATATAATAACAATTGCTTGATGTTACTCTGGGAATTTAGTCGAAGATAAATTGATTATTCTTAATGTAACATCATGTCAAAATTATACATTAATAAATAAATCTACAAGATAGAAAAATTTTAATTAAATTTCTATCAAATCTTCCCTATTATTTTAGTGGAAAATTGTATTTTTTAATTTGTTTATAAGGAAAATTATAATTATAATTAATTTATTTACTTGAAAATTAAAGTATTAATTTATTTATAAAATACACGAGAATTTTTTAAAATTAATTTCACTAAATCGTAATTTATAAACAGTAATTTTTGAAACGATTTAAATGCAGATTTCATCAATTTTTTCTTGGAAAAAATCAATTTTCAAATAGTTATCAGCTCATTGTTGTTGCAATCTTTTGCCTCAAATCCGTTAGTTTCTTTTGTTATTTCCTACTAAAATCTAACTTAACGACTTCTTGACCGAAAAAACAAGAAGGAAAAAAAATCCAACCGAAGAGGCTATTTACTTGTCAGAATTAGAAGAGAAAATAGAAAAATATATAAGAATTCGAAAGACAATTTTTAAGTCAACAGGAATTACATTTAATTCAGTGAAAATAAAATAAATATCAGCTCATAATTTCTAATTTTATATATTTTAAAAATTATAAATAATTTTTAATAAAGAAAATAATTCGATTTATCTTTGTGTACTCTACTTAATGTTCTTGCGAATGAAATTAAAACGAATTTGAGGGATTCGTCTTAACGTTTAATTAATTAGAATTAAATTTAATAAGAAAATTTTAATGTATATTTGTATTTAAAATGTACAGAATTTATAAAAAAAAAATCACAGAAATATTCACAATTTTTTATAAAAATAAAATGACAAACAAAGAAAGATGAGATATTTATTTATTGACTTCCTTTGACTTGCTTGAGAAATGCGAGAACTTAAAGCTTCACTACTTGGCTCTGAAAAAGAAAAATCATGAAAATTCATACGTAAATTAGAAAGAAAGAAAAACATAAACAAGACATTTAATTTTCATTAACATAGATCTCTTTACCTGGACAATATCCGTCAGAGATATTTATTAATGTTATAACTAATGCATCAACTAATTTTTTAACAAACAATAAATTTTCAGGGGTGATAAAACTTAAATCGTCACACAAAGAATGGTAGCAATGTCTCATTCGTCCACGAAATAGTGCTGAAATTAAACAAGGTTAAAGAGTTACTGAAAAGATTATGTAAACTATTTACATAAATACAGATAATTCAATTTTGTTATAAATATTTACTGAATTTATTTCGACTATTTTAAAGAGGGAGTGAAGCTTACATTTATGCATCCTGTTTAAAATTTTAATTAATTAACTTACTAATGAATGTATAAAATTAATTTCTAAGTTGTCAAAGGAGTTTTCCTACGAGATATAATTTAGAAACTAAATTCTTTCGAATTCTCATAGGATTCATATTTCCACTTGTTTTAAACTGTAAATACAACACTTCAGTATTCTTAAAAATCCAGAGCATTAGTTACAATACTTATTGTAAGTTATAAGTGAGCCACTTGTTATAAAGATAAACACCTTGCAGCTTTAAAACAAAATTATAAAAAACGGTTGAAGAGGACACACTAAAATAACTAACAATCAGCAACTTCATCAACAACAATAATACTAATAATAAGAGAATGTTTATATAATTTTTAAAAAGAATTTCAGATATATACATATAGCGTTACTTATGAAAAATTCATCATCGTTAATTATATAAGCGATCATTTAATACCTGTATCTGTGATAAGAACAGCATTTAGAGAACTGGGACCGTTAGATGTATTATGATACCAAAACATAACGTGATCACTTCTTAAAAAGTTTAAGTGTTTAGCTAGGATATTCATGGGTGGTACACGACTTCCCATATTTATACCCATGTGGAATAATTTAAATTGAGGTTGATCCAGCTGTTCCCAAGATTTTAATAATTGGGATGAAAGATGAGCATCCATTGTCCATCTTGACATCATCGCTAGAAAATTTCCTCGATATCCACCTATTGCTATATGTCTAGATAAAGATGGTAACACCTGGAAAAAAATAAAAAAAATTAAATAAATAATAAAATTTAAAAATAAAACTAGAATTTTAAATTTAGAAAATCTGAATAAAAAAAATACTAAGCATTTTTCAATATTATTTTATAAATAATTTCAATTTTTTTAATGGAAAAAAACAAAAATAATTTTACAATTTATTTATTGTTTTTTTTTATAAACAAAATCAATTTAACAGAAAAATTTAGAAACTAAAGTTAATTTAAAATTCTAAGTAAAAAATAAAAAAATAATAATCAATACACTATATGGAAATCTGAATGAAATCTTTTGAAAAGTTATAAAGTACTACACGTATATAAAAAGGAACTTAGAAAAAAAAATGATAAATAAATCTTTGAGTAATCCTGTTCTATAAGTGTTGACATATAAATCTCATGGTACGTAATCATGAAAGTAGCAATTGAGAGAAAAGAGAAATTGTATTTTGTTTGGCAGGTTTATTGAATAAAAAGAAGAAAAAGTCGGCAACGATATAAGTTATGTATGCTTTTCACATAAAAATATCATTGCAAGCTCAATATTTGTATTGTTACATTGTTGCATTGCCAACTTATATAGATTTGCTGTAAATTCTGCAATATGTTGATAAAATATAACAGACATATTTAAAGATTTTTCTCTTTCAAAAATACGTTTTCTGAATCAATAATCCTATTTATTCAATATATAAAAAATATATTAAAAAAATGATAAATTAAATGACAATTAAATGCTTCAATATTAGATTTTTTTTTAAATTTCAGTAGCATTAATTAAAATATGTATATGCTAATTTAATAATTATATTTTTCTTAAATTTTGTGGTATTTAAATTTTAAAGATCCAATTAATAAGCTTTCAACATCATCACTAAACTTTTAGTAGGATTTAACCACTAAAATTTTTATCACTCCTCTCTTAAGACCTGTTAATAGCCACGTTAACTTCTTTCAATGGTAAGATTGACCAGCCGAAAACAGTTAAAGTTCATGAAATTTTTATAATATTGCTTCTGATAATTATATTTAAACCTGAGGTAATTAAAATTAGAATTTAATATAAATAAAATTTTTTAAAACATTGTTTACTATATAAAAGCTATACGTATAGTTAGTATACATACGCACACACATACACTTAGTTTTTAAAAAAAATTAATTGTTTAACAAGCTTACTTTTCTGATATCTTGAGGGATTTCTTGAGAATTAATGTTATTATCAAAATTTAAAACAGAATCTAGGATATAAGCACCTTGAAAATGTCCTTTATTCTTTTGTAAAATGTCTGGAACTAAGAAATCTCTTACAAAATATAAACTACCTAAACCACCCTAAAATTAAAGATAATTGTAATAATTTTTATAAATAAAAATAATAATAATAGTGTAAAAAGTAGCCAAAAATCAGTTAACCGTGTTTTAATGTACGTTCCAAATATAATTGTAAATTAAGTTTAGAACATGTTTTTATTATATAAAATTGACGAAAAACATGATTTTAAAAATGTAATTAAATGTTTAAGTATTTGACGAAGATAGCAATTTAATCTTTATAATGGTTAACTGACTTTTGAATCACCCAATTAAATTGAGTTATCAATTTTTACTTACCACTTCTTCCATATCAAAAGCTACGAAAATAATCGTGTTCTTGAACTTACAGTTATATAAACTAAGTACTCTAGCTATTTCTAACATAGCAGATACACCGGAACCATTATCGTCGACTCCTGAAATTTTAAAATTAATTTTAATGATGAGACGATACTTATAATTAACGATCGTTAAAAGGCGTGGAAAATTGTGTTACAGTAATTAATCTATGATATTCTTGTCACTATTTAATTAAAATTATTATAACTTTGTTTTAAATTACAGAAATCAAGTAATTTTTGTCATCATAACCTGGTGAATTGGGTACTGTATCATAATGTGCACCAATCAACAATATTCCATCTTGTGATTTTCCCCAATTACGTCCGTGCAAAATCCCAATTACATTTACTCCTTCGATAATAGAAACATCATCCTGTAAAATTAAAATTTAATAGAAATTTAATTGATAATTAGTGGTTATTACTATCCTTTATAATTAGCCGTTCAGTTTAAAATTTTAATTAATTAACTTACTAATGAATGTATAAAATTAATTTCTAAGTTGTCAAAGGAGTTTTCCTACGAGATATAATTTAGAAACTAAATNGTAATTAAACTTAAAAATAATCAATTACATTGAGTTAACTTTTTTTTTGTTAATTACAATTATAGATAATTACAGTTAAGCTATGGCGCCATCTATCGTTAAAAAAGTCAAACAACTTTTTAAAATACTGTATTATAATAATAATATAAATAATTTAACATAATTTTAATTTTATTTTACTTACGGCATCACTTAATTCCACGGCCGTAAAATTATGCAATACGATATCAAGATTATATTCTTTCATTTTATTTAATAAAATATCACGAGCTTTGAATTTCAAACTTCCATTATCCGAATCATCTCTGACGGAGCTAAAATGATGTTGTAGAGTATCTCTCAAGTATCTTGTATCAGCTTTTGGTATCAAAGTTTTACGTTTAACATGAGGTCTCCGAACTCGAAATCTTGGAATCATATCCGAATAAGAAGCATTAAAATCAAAATTAGTGAGTACATTGTATTCTGAAATGGCGGGTTGATCGTCTTTTAACACCATAGTTGCATGTGATAATCGTTTAAAAGGCGTAAGACGATTTCTCATGGATGGATATGTATAAGCTGGATAATCTCTAAATGACAGTTCGTCAATCTCTTCGGGTGGACTCGATAATCCACAAATGATAAAATTAAAGATGATGACACGGAGTATGTAAAATCCTAAAATAATAATTTAATAATTAAAGTAAATATTTAAATAACAATTTAATATAATCTTTTAATTATTAACGTTTTAAGCTTTTAAATTTCTTCATTATACGGGCCATGATAAGTAAACTAATTTAATTCGGGATTGTTTAACAGTAGAATTACATTGCCAAAGTGATGAGAAATATGTAATTGAAGAACACGCTTAAGGTTAATGAGAGAAATTTATTAGTTGAAGTAAATATGAGTTTACTTTTATCGGTTGTTTTAGAACGTTATTATCATGTTTATACTCGGAAAGAAGCTTATGTCTCCAGAGAGATTTGACTCGAATTTTTTTCTAGGATAAGCCATAATGAGTATATTTCTCTATTTTCTTGGATAACGAGAGATAATTTTAGTTTCTTAAGTCATGGATTAAGAACTTTTACTTCTTTATTTCGAAGAATTTTAATAAAAATTATGAAGTTAAATGTGCTTAAAATATAATAAAATTGTTATAAAAGTTAATAATATTTAATTATGTTTTTATATTACATAAAATCAATGTTGTAATTAATGTTTTTTCTAAATTTAATTATAATTTTATGTGTCGAAATCCCATTTTCTTTGACACATAAAATAGTTAATTAATTACATATTTTTAATTAAAATTTAATGATATTTATCTGTTTATATTTTTAATGAATGTAAGAATAAAAGTAAATTTTAAATTTATTAAAATTTAATTTATATAATCATTTTGTACGTTTTTAATTTAGAAATTATTACAAATGTTAAGTATTATAATAAATAAAATTATGTAAATTATGGTATAAAAATGTTATTAATTTCCAGTTTTCTGTTTGTTAAGCAATTCTCTGGAATAATTCATTCTTTTTAACGTAAACATTATATAAATTGAATTCCATGAATTTTTCTTTATTTTAATTAATACTTCTTGTTATTTTCTCAAATTTGACAATATTTGATAACATATTACAGGGGAAACAATAGTTTTAAAATGGTAATTTTTAACCAAAACTTTAATTAAATTTGTTAAAGTATAACAAAGAATCGAGTAAAAGATAAATATGGAGAAAAGGATGAAATGTAATGGAGTGGTGAAATATTAATGATTTAGATTAAATTTACCAAATTGATAAAATGGAAAAATAATTTGATTAAACATAATTAAGTGTAATAAACAAAATTAAAATCTATTGCCTGTAATTATATAGTTAAATGCAAAATGAAATGGATTGTGATAAACGTAATTAAGTAGGTATTAAAATAAATCAAAATGTGTTTTAAATATAATTAAGTTTGTTTTTTAACTTGTAAATTCATTAAGAATTGAATTTTTATCATTTATTTTTTAAAGGGAATCGTCTTATCCTCGAATGTATCTAATGAAAATGAAAAATATCATAAATCAAATATAAAAATACTTGAAAGAAATATATTTTAAAACCGTAATTAGATCAAATCAAGCCATAAAATACTCGAACATAATTTATTTAATAGTCTATCATGTTAACCGTACTAATCTAATTCAATTAAGCTACATAATATATTCCCCATTCTCTCACGTAGAGCTTCATCAAGGTGGAGAACAATAAAGAATTTAATGATGTTGCATGACGTGATTATATTTATCAACGACAATGGTCTGATTGCTTAATCTAAATCGCGGATTAACTCCATCCCTCTTATTATTATTATTGTTTTACAATAACAAGGAACTTCATGCAATGCTTAGTTCCTATTGTAAGCAATTTTTCTTAAAGGGTCACGGTCACATAACCTGTGTCAATTGAAGCTATTCTTTTGCTCTAATAGTTCACCACTTTGATTCGATTCGAGTAATCTCATTCAAGAGATAAATCTTTCTATACATTTTATCCACATTCTATGAAAATATAATCATTCTCGGTGTCATTTATGAGTCATAGAAGTGATTAATCTCAATAACAATAGTTTTTAGTTTTAAATTAATAAAGAATGATTGACAGACTGCTTCTGCCCCTTCTTGGCATCCAGTGGCAATATTTGGGTGTGGTGGTAAGTCGGTGGGTGGAGTATAGTCTGGCTGTCGACCTTGTCTAAACTGAAAGTCACGGCAAATTAACCGTCTACTATAGTCATGTTACGCCTTCGATAAGTTACGTTGCAAACTATTTTAACTTCAAGGAAATCATTAGATATAAGCCTATAAATATATATAAGCTTATACATGGAAGAAAATAGATATTATGTAATTTATTGTGTCCTGAATTGCATGTTTTTTTTTCTATTTTTACGAAGTTTCTTGGCTCTACATCTTCCTTTATATAGGTTACTCGTAGTTAAGATTTTTAAATTAAGATAAATTTCTATACAGTTTTGAGATGGAATTATAAGAAAACATTTTTATCCAATCCATTAAAAATATTTTAACTTCAAATTTACATTTATTTTCAATTTATAAAATTAAATTAAATTTAAATTTGTAATCTACACAGTTCTAAAATTAAATTTAGTTAATCAAAAAGCTTATAAATTTTTAAAAGTATATTTATGTATTTTTCAGTCCAGCATTAAGAAAAATGTATATACGATTTTATTAAAAGAAAATAAATTGTAAATTTGTCATAGCATTTACAAGATTTTCTTTTATCAGTTTTATAAATATTTTATTTGAAAAAGTTGGCAGAAAATTAAAATGTTGATTGTTACAAAAAAGTAAAAATAAACAGAAAATAAATAAAACAGAATTAAAATTTTGTTTCTGAATCACTTCCAACTTTGTTAATTTTCTTTTCCATCATTATAAGCACGAACGATTAAATAAATTTTTATAAAAAATTGTCGCGTCACAATTATAGATTTTTCAATATTAAAATCCATAATATATATATATATAAATTTTTTGCTATTAAGAAAAAAATCTATGACGTTTATGAAAAATAACATAAATTCAGTTAAAAGAAAATAAGTGGTAAGATATTTACCATTAGAAACCGGCATACTATTTCTTCTGCATTCAGTTTTCCACATGATGTCTGATATTAAACCATCTCCACCTGAATCTAAATCCCTGGAGAAAATTCTTTGGATCAGCAGCTACAAATAAAAAAGTCAAGAGTTAAGTGCAGTGGCTTGCATCAAGTGCTAAAGGTTGTAAGAAAATGAATAGAAGAATTCCAGGACAGTTCCAGTTCCTGTGGTTCAACTGACTTCACGTCTATTGAACCACTGGACTATAACCGACTTATGCAATAACACAATCTCCCTCTGAATATGTTACCTTTATGTACCTTCAACATTTCTTTGTTGATTTATTACAACATTTTTAATACTTCAAAGAATATAATGATTCCGTTAGGATGTTTAGAAAGCTGTAATGCTGAATGTATTCAGGATTTCTTTTATTGTGCAAATGTTTTTTTTTTCCTATATAACTTATGGTTTTATAAAGTCTGTTATAGATTTAAATTGAGGAATTTTAGAATAACCTTGTTATTTTTCATACAATAATATTTGAAATGCATCATACAGAGAAGGTTTTTATTATGTAAATTATTTAGACTATATCTTATTTTCTGTTTAAAGTTATTACATTTATCCATTTTTGAAACGAATATTCAGAATTAATATACGATAATTTATCAAGAAAAGTAGAATATTAGAATGTTGAATCATAAATTTCATATTTTAGTGGGTAGTTAATGTAAATATTCGGGTAAATTTAGAAAAAAGTTGTTCTTTTTCGTTATGTGAAAGGTTAATCACTCTATTCCGATCGTATGTCTTACGCTCACTAATCATCAATGCTTCTGTAACCATGACTGCAGCCCATAAGTCGATAAACATTGATTGATAAGGTTATATATTACATCTGGAATAAGGAAATAAGAATAATTCTATTCAGCAACACGTTTTCAATTTTATTTCAAAGAATCTCAAATATACAAATGTAAAAAGTATGTTATAAATTCCTGTTAAAATTCTACTTTTAAATTTCATTCAAACAGTAATTCTAAATACTGTAATATTTTTTCTTTTAATTATAAATTCAAGCAAAAATGTATAAATGTGTAATACAGTATTCGGTAACTTTATTTATTTACTTGACTACACAAAATTAAAATCTATTTGAAAAAATTTATAATAAATTAAAATAATATATTGATTTATATAAAATTTTATTTTATATTTCGAAGAAATTTTAAAAGTTTATTTTTCTACACTTTTACTATTTTTTCGTCCATTCAAAATTGAAAAAGGAAAAAAAAAAATAGAANATATTTTTACATAAAATAATTCAAATTTGCAACCTTTTTTTTAAAATCGTTATTTCCTTTTTATACATTATAAATCAAATATTTTATTAAATAGTAAATAAAAAATAAAATATATTGACATTCTTCAGAGCCGACACAATTATTAATAATTTTAATTCCTTTCCCTTTATATATATTTATAAAATAACTCGAATTCGAATGAACGAAACTTCTGAACTTTATTGATATTCGTGTCATTTTATCTCTCTATCTAAAGAAAATATTCGATAATTCTTACTAAATATAAAATTACCAGCAGCAAATCGAAACCCTTTAACTTGCAGCAATTTGATGACGTTATTCCATTTACGTAATCAACTACGTAAAAAATTGATTCAATATGTCTTTGATATATCTTTTATATTTATATATGAATGTATTTTTAATAATTATACATTTATAATTCTGATCTCTGAGTATTTAAATAAAAGCAGAATATCGGTTTGACACGGAAAATACGAATCAGTAAAGAAAAATTTCCATTTTTCAATTTAGTATTTGTTTTTTTTTTCTTTCTTTTCTTTCTTCTTTTTTTTTTCTCTTCTTCTCCCCTTTACTTTAATGTGTGTTACGCTTGGTGAGAGCATATTGCGGGGCTTTTAATGGTAATTAATGGGAAAAATTGATTGATCTATAGATTAACTTTGGCTTCTGTAAAGAAGAAAAATTTGTTTGTTTCTCTGATAATTTATATTTCTATTCATTAATTTTATTTGATTTATTCTTGTCTTTTTAATCAAATCGCGAAAATGTTATGGGATATTTTATGCAATAAATTTCTTAAGCTTTCGTTAATTAAAAATATAGGCCTATATATATTTTTATTTCTTTTCAAAATTTCGTGAAAGATATATAGATTATAGTCACCTTGTCCTCAATTTTCTTTAAATTCTCGCATGATTTTCAAAAATTCCACTATGTATACAGCATGCACGATAATCATCCTGAAGAACGATGAAAGAATTATTCAATAAAGAAAAAAGTTCATTTTAAACCAAGCAGGAAAATTCAATATGTCACGTTTAAAGTATATTTTACATCTGTCGTGGGTTCTTGTCTTGAAAGTTTCTTGAAACGTGACGAGTTTTGAGCTAGATAAAAAAATATATATAAATAAAAATCCAAAGAAAATAAGTATATAAACATTTGGTCTCTAGTTATCTTCCTTTTGCAGTCAAGTTTGAAATTTTGATAATTTTGGGCACGTTGCTGCTATATTCTGGTCTCATATTTATTTATATTTGTATCACAACAGGATTTAAGATAAAATCTTTATACAATATTTTAAAAAATAACAGTTTTTATTTTTTATAATTTAAAGCTTTAACATAGGATTATAGAATTAAAGTATCCATTTATGCCCTAGAAAATTTCATCTTCCTGTAATATACATGACCTTGACCATGCAGGATATGTATACAAATTACATTTATTCATTCATGAATGCTTTAAAAGTGATAATGGTAAGATAATTTGATAAATAAAGTTGTTATTAATAATAATTTTCATCTATATTTGTTTACAAATAAGCAAATTAAGAATTTCTAGATAAACAAGAGGAAATGATTCAATGTATACAAATTATCATGCATATGTATTAAATGTTTAAAATCACTTCTGTTAACAATATCACGAATTTTAATTAACTAAGTTGGAATTCTCTACGTAATTGATAATGTCACGAAGGTACTATTTAACAAATTCTTTCAAACGAGAAGTTGTTACACGTCTGGAAACAGCGAGATAACGTTATTTGATACATAGTTCGTTTCTAATGATGAATATTATCATTATAGTATGGAATGGAGTCAAATCTGTCTTCAGACACTATGCAAAATCTTTTTTTATTGGATGTAAAATCATGGTTTTGTATCAAAACAATGGTTCCTACAGATTTTTCAGTTACAGGAAAGCACGTATTGACCACTATCGCACTCCTTAATTTCGGTCTGATGGAGAGTGTAACTGTGAGTTGCTTGTTCTCTAGAGCCAAGTGTTACTTTTGAATGAGTCACGATCATTCGGAAACAGTCACGATCAGCATGGGACACACGATCATTGCAATAATGTCATTTAGGGACTCTTCTAGAGATGGCTCGCGATTGTCTAGATAAAAATTGTTTTCACACAATCTATACTTCATCTTTTAAAAAAATTATATTCGAACTATCTCCAAGGCATCAAAATTTTGATATTTTCAACACGAACGTCATTGAAGAAAAATATTATTAATTATACTCTGAAGGATTGCAGTGACTTTAAATACTGTTCAATTCAATATTGTACAATATTCAATGTACGAACACCGATTTAATTTTAAAAGTAATTTTAAAAATTCTTTATTTTTTCAAAATTATGTACTGTACTATCCAATACAAAACCGAATTTATGCGTTTCTTCAATTTTAAGTAATGAATAGACCATTTTTTTTAATAAATTGAAAATACATTTTAAATATAGGTTATATATGGAGCCTGCCTGACCCAGTTATTAAAATATATGAATAAACGCAACAAATAAAAACAGATTTTTACTATTCATCAGACAAAACTTTGATATATGTGCTATAGATTTATATAAAGGGAGTAAGCAAATGATATTTCTTATCCCCCTCATACAGAGAGGAGCTAGGACACAGAGAGGTTCCAAAAATTTAATCTTTTATGTGAAAATATATGATACGAGAGAATTGTTTTAGTAGCCTATATTATAATTTTTTACATAAAATAATAAATTTTGAGTTTCTCTGTATATGGATCCAAGGTCAAGTGACCTTGCTCATCTCCTCTATTTGAACTTGACTGTCAGAATGAGGAAATACATTCACAACGAGTAATTTAAATACAGAAGTAATCTTAATGAGATATTTTTAAAAATATAAATATATTTTCTATAAAATTAATTAATTTTTCTAACGGAATTTTTTATTAAAAAATACATTTAAATAAGAATTATAAAAAAGAGGAAATTATAACTTTATTAAATAAAAAAAATTCATAAAAATTTTATTTTTTGAGTGAAATATAAAACAGAAAAGCATATAAAACAGTGTATATGAAGGTATATAAAAGCATATATAATGAACTATATATAGACATAGAATAAGGTATATAAAGGCATATGGAATAAGGCATACAAAGTAAAATATTTAAAGATTAAAGGGTGCATAAAGCATACAGAATAAGGAATATAGCCTAAAGGCATACAGTATATTTAGAGGCGTATCATATAATATTATAAATTTATTAGAAGCATATATGTTAATAAAGAAAATATAATTTATAGATAGAGTTTTATATAAATCTCGTAAAACAGAAACATTATAATAGTTTAATGAATGCTAATTTATTAGTAATGAATAGTTTAAAATTAAATATAATTAATGGGTATTGTATTTATACAGTTTATCATCTAGGAATTTTTGAAACAGCAAATTTTTTACTTTTTTTTATTATCTTTTTTTATTAATCATAAAACATGAGTGTAGTAGTAATATAATATTTATGAAATTCATAAAATTTCAAAAATGCAAAAGGTATAAAAATATACTTGTTAAATATAACAAAAAAAAGTTATAAAAATGATATCTTTTTAATAATAATAATCCATTAATATGTTATTTTTATTGAATGATACGGATGCATTGACTAACTCAGGAAAGATATTGCTATATAGCTTCAATATATCAAGTTTTTATGGCATCATCAAACAGATTTTTTTGTTATAATTCGGTATTTAGCTAGGCAATATAGTTGTATAGAGTGGCCCAATAGTCAATTAATCAACTTAAAGGTTAAATTTATGTCATATTTCGGCAATTTTTATAAAAATTATTCAAAATTAAATCGTTTTCAATACACAAATTAAAAATTTCTTTCATAAATTTCTGATAAGGGTTTGGGAAAAATGTTAACTGATTTTTGAGCCATCCTCTATTTCTTTTTCGTGTAATTAAAATAACTTTGTAAATAAATTCATTTTCTGGTGGTTAAGAAATAAATGTATTACTGAAAAACCATATAAACTACAGTATACGTCCGTTAATCCGTTATCCGCTAATCCAGAATATACGGTTAAGTCTCAATCTATGCAGTCTATTTATATTATTTTATTAATATTTTACATTAATTAAACATTCTTAAATTCAAGATGTTATTATTTATTAAAATTATTTAAGTTTTATTAAAAAAGGTATGTTTTTTTAATAAAAAAAATTCACATTCGAAAAAGTTATAATACACAGAAGTGTAGAAATATTCGGCTGTTTTATTTTACGTCAGGTGCTAAAGAGCTGTTAGACATTAACATGAAATGACTAGTTTCATTACACAGATGCTGAAATGGGCACAAGTTTTCAGGCTAACATTTCGACAAGTGACAAGAAAAATTGGAAATAAATGTCTATTACAGGTCGTATTGGGGCTTCAAGAAATGTCTAGAAACTTCTTGAAATGGCAAATTTCAGCCTGTAACTACAACACACAGTGCATGTGAGAGAAAATACATTCACACTAATTATTTGTAAATGTTGAATTTATATCATAACGTGTTCATTAACGTTTGTTTTAGATTCTTAATCAATCTTAACACAGTGTAGTCATGCACTGTATCTTAAGAGCATGCATAACAAATCGAAAGCATACATCAGCACGCGCTGGTACAAAATATACTGCTATGTATTTAGCGTATCGAATTTTGAAAAAAATATAAACCGCTCGATAATCCGGCACCATTCCGAATGTGCCGGATTAACGAAATTCTGTATAAGACTGCCCAACACAGTTAGAAAACAGGGAGTTTAATTGTTGACATTAAATGGTTAAAGATGTTTCGAATTTTAGTTTGACAAATTTATATGTGATTTTGGTAAGTACATTTTAATTATTTATCTATTTTACAATGATAAGGACATTAGAAAAGTAGTTTTATAAAGGCCTCACTTAAGAATAAATAAGATTACATAAGATAAAACATAAATATTTTCAGAAGAAAATGCCTAATTATTAATAATAATTGATATATTTAATGCTACATTTTAGTGTTTTAATTGTATAATTTGCAATAATTTTTTAAAATAAAATTAAAATTTCCATTTTGTCTTATAAGTCTACAATATTGAAAATACTCAGCTTGTATAAAATAAATTACATTTAGATACAAATTAGTTTTAATTTCAGAAATTAAAAGAATAATTAATTGTTACAAAATACAAATTTAGAATTATTAAGAAATATTCTTAATGCATTTTATTACAATAGTGATCAGACCTGAGAGGGATGAGATAGGGCCTAGAGAAATTATAAATGTTAAGGCTTTAAACGTCTTCAAAAAAACCAAAAAATTATATAATAAAAACAAATTTCTTCCATTTATCAATTTATCATCACGCTTTTTATTTAAAAAACTAAATTTTGGGGCCCTTCTAAGGTACGGGCACGACAAAATGACCTTTCTGACTCATTCTGTCTGGGTCTGACAGTGATATGTGACTGTAAAATTTAAATATTAGTTTTTTGACATAAACTGTAAACTATTTTATCCATAAATAAACGATTTTTCTTCATTTTATTCTATCTAGAAATAAAAAAAAAATTGTTATTTATGAATATATACACTTTGACTTACTATGTTGAACGATATGTGGAACCACTTTCGACCTCTTACTACATACATTCAAAACAAATATTCAATAACAACGATGCATCACTTCCTGTCTTATCACTTGTTATTTACTACTTATATCCGGTAAAAATATATTTTCGAGTCAATATATTATATAATTAATTTGTTATTTATAAATTTCGATAATTAATAAGTGAAATTTCGTGTATTTTATAATTATAAATTAAATTTATAGAGTTATATACGTTCCTTTATCTCTCTTATGTTCTTTATAATTGATGTAATATCCTGAATTTTTGAATCATGTTTGAATCTATATGATTCTATAATAATATACAATTTTTGTTAAGAAATTTAAATTTATGTTTAGAGATTTCTTTTGTAATTCTATTTACATCTCTCGTAGGAAGTAAGATGAGATATCCTCGTCTCTCGAACTCTAACCGTAATACAATATCGCTTTTATGATAGAAGAGCGGTACAAAAGATCAAAGTTATAAGTACAACAAATTTGGAGTTGAATTGGACTCTTAAGATCATTTTAAGGTATCCTCGACAAAAAAAATAACAAATTAGACGGTAAAAAGTAATCAAAAAATTTATTGAATATAGAATGGAAATGTATTAAACAAGCGTAGATAAACATGCATCTCAGGGCCTCACATTTTTGCGTGTGTCATTATTTGGTGGAAGGGAATGGCTTGTTATATGTTATAGTTATGACCACAGCAAGTCGAAGTTCAGAAGAAAACACATTTTATTTGTTTATTTAAAGGCAGTGGCGCGTTATCCTATGGACAGAAAGGGCAATTGCCTGGAGCCACCACCAACAGGCAGTCAAAATCAATCTTTTATAAACTTATGACTGTAGTGAGAATATTTAAATTTAAATTTGGGCTATAACCCTATACTGTAGGCACAGGATGCACTGGCACAGTGCAGAAATGCGTTAAAAAACGAATGCGAATACCAGAAGTTTCTCCCAAAAATTCCGAAGAAAATGTTTGAAATCAACACTGTACAGGGACCATCTAATTCATATTTTCCTGGGCCTCATAAAGCTATGATTGGCCACTGTTTAAGAGAATTAATAGCTAGATCTTTATCTACATTGCCGTTATCTATCACTTCTTCCTCTTTCCTTTATTTGAGAACACGAATATTACAATAGAGTAAGAGTATTATAAAATGCTGGTTTAACTTGTGATGATACTTTTTGTGTAAATTTAAAAACAATTAAAGAAACAAAGACAAAAATTAGATTTATTCATTAATTATTAATCGAAATAGGAGTTAAAACCCTGCTTAGATATAGGGATTAAGTTTTACAGGACCAGTCTTTAGTTACAGTATATAAGTAGGACAAAATAGTGTTAGTTCATTTTAAATAATAATATAAATATTTTGTAAAAGTGTTTGAAAAATTCCAAAATTGTTTCTGTGGAATGTTTTTTCTCGTTTGCGATTCAAAAATGTGAAATTATTCTGTAATTAGGGCTCATTGTTCGACAAAGTTGGCTGTTATCAATGTTATCGTGTTATTTTAGTGAATGTTATCATTAATATTTGTCATTTAATCTATTGTTTAAACTATAAAGATTCAGAATAGCCTCTCGAAATTTCAAGGCTGTTCATTTCTTATAATAAAATCCGAAAATGTTAACGATAAAATGCATTTAATGCATACCATTACACTCAATAACTCCATGGCATTGCAGATTTAATTTACTGAAAAATAAATTATAAAACGTTTTACAAACTATTTTATAATTAATTTCTTAAATTATACACTATAATGTTGTTTAATATGAATATTGTCAGGATTATCACGAGAACAGGACAAATGTCAAGTCATAAATCATACCGAAACGTACACAAATAATATTTACAAATCTAGAAACAAGTTTCTATTATTAAACGTGAATGCCAAAATATAATTTATAAAAATATATATATACAATCGAACCTACCTCTAAACGGGGGGGGCATATTTTTTAGGAACATTTCTCTTTGAAATGCACAAAATAGCCCCAAACAACGACCATTTTTAATGTTTCTGTCAGTGGCTATTGTTCTAAAAATTGTACCAATGTGTTTGTTTCGTTGATTGGATTTAAAAAAACACGAAAAAACATTCACATAACCTGAAAGAGATGAGATGAAGTGCATTAATAAATATGATCCTTACGAAAATATAGGAATAAAATTAATTAATTAAATAAAAATACCTTCCTTATCATTTATCGAAGAAATTTTAATTTTAATTAAGAATTTTTACATAAAAATTTCAATTTTGGGGCCATCCAGATAGGAATTAAATGACTTTGCTGACAATTAAGATTTACTTTTCGATCTGCCAAAGAAAAACTCAATTGAAGTGTAATCTACACCTTCGATTAATATGCTTATTGTTACGTGATTTTGTATTCAACCAATCAACGGATTGAATGCTAATAGTCGATAAAAGACCTTTCTGTTTTTGTATTATCTTAACCAAAAGATTTCATTAGGAGCAGATGTTAAATTGTTTATATATATTTTTCGAAAAATGGAATAGATTGTGTTATTTTCTGAATAATCTTACTTTTAGATTCAAATTTGTTGCCTAATTTATTATATATATTTGTAAAGAAAAACTATTTACAGAATATTTTTAAATTTTTAATATAAATAAAAAATGAGAATGATGATAAACTGGGACGAAATAGACCAGTAATCTAATTTCTATAAGGATGATGAAGGTGACGATAAAACTGAAGATGAAGTTGAAATTGAAATTGAAGATGAATTTAACAATGAATATGAAGATAATTTACAGAATATATAATAATTTTCTCAAATAAAATACTCAATTATTTACTAAAATGCTCTCAGATGGTCCTTCAAAATAATTCTTAAGTTATTTAACATTTTAAAATTAGAGTAATAGAAAAAAAATAATTCATTACGTGAAATTTTTTTTTACAAAATGAAAATTTACAGTTAAATATTTTTTAAACAAATTAGAAATTTACATTAATTCTTTCGTAAAATGCAATTCCTTGAATAGTTCATTCATTTTAGAAATTGCATATTACGAAAGATCTGATGAGAAAATCTGACACGAGAATAAATTATATAGCATAAATGTTGATGTTACGAATGATATATTCTATACTTAAGATTTACGTAAAGATAGGATACATTAATAAGTTGTTACTATTAAAACTGAATATTTGGATAAATTCTCTTACTAAATGTAACTAAAGCTTATACGTAATTAATAATTATTTTAAATTACGTTTTAATAATAAATCTAAATGTGCATTCTTCGTGGTATAAATTATAAAATTAATGAAAACAGATTAAAATTTGGAGCAACACCAGCATATTTTTTAAATTATTTTATTTTAAGTTTTTTTTAGATGAAAAAGATTTATAAGTTATAATTTATTTTATAAATTATAAATATAATCTTAGGAACAATGCTCGAGAGAGATGAGATGAGATTCGTCCTACTTACAAGTGTAGAAACTCATCCCTTTTCAAAGTTCTAGAAATATATTAATAAAAATCGTTAAAATAAATAAAAATAGATTGCTTTTTCTACTCATCAAATAAATCTTTAATTTATATCATGTTTTCTTTATACTTTTTATATGAAAAGTTATACTTTGTGGTCTTCTGCATCCTCTGCACACAGCAAAGACCAGTGTCTTTGCTGTATGATCGTGTAGAAAGTCGTGAATGATTTATATCAATTAAAAATAATTTTTATACCTTATAATATAAATTAAATAATAAAAAATTCATTTCTAAAACGATTCTAATGAGAATATTCATAGACGTGAATTCATGAGAATCTTTATAAGGACATTCAGGATGAATGTTCTTATCAGGGTATTCATAGGAATGGGGATATTCATGAGGATATTCAGTAAAGTATCCTTTTTTTATATGAATTTTCAAGTTAAAATAATGGAAAAACCAGTGTAAAATGCTCTTAATTTTTTAAAAATTTTGGTGAAAGCAAAACAAAATAAAGATTTAAAGGAACAAAATATATAATTTTATATAAATGATAATAATGATGATGTTAAAGATATTATCTCTCTAGTTTACGCATGAATTCAAACAAATTTATTGAAATTCGCAGTCAAAGCCGCATTCATATTTTAAGAGATAGATACAAATGGAAAACTAATTATGATTCGGTTTATATTAATCTATTTAATATTGTTAATATGAATATAATCATATAATAACACATATGGAATAATAAGTTAAGGAATTAAATTATAACAAGATTGGTATATTTATACATGGCTTTTATCTACAAAACTTTCCACACAAATGCATTTATTACTTCATTCCTTACATTGAAATAACGAGTTTTATATGAGATATATTGAATTTTTTATCATTTTCCTTCATAATATTTTAATAGAAACGTAATGAAGAATGATAAAAATCTTTAAAAAAAATAAACTATAAAAATTAATTTAAATTTTATTACTACAACATCAATTAAGTTAATTAAAAAAAAGTATATTTTCTTTACTGTTTAATGTATAAATATATTTTGAAATTTAATTAAATCATATCAAAGTACGTTTGAATTATTTTAAAGCATAGATTATCTTAAAAAAATCTAATGAAGCTTATTAAAATTTTCATTAAATTACAAGTTGACAAGTCACTAAAACAAGATGAGCAATTCATCATCCTACCTTCCATCATTTTCTCTACATATTTATTTTATAATGAAAGCTGACTACTGAATAATTTACGAAATATTATATTTATCATACATTAAAATACTTCTTTGATGTTTACAATTTGAATAAATTTTATGAACTATTAAAAATTATTCTACATTCTTACTCGTTATATTAAAACAACGAATTCTATATATATTATATTTTATATAATTAATAATAAAGTTTATTTCTATATTACACATATTTATTTACTTATTTTTCCCCTCGATGTATCTTAATTGGAGTTATCTCAGATCTCAAATGAGTAGGAAGATTTTGATGAAGATGTTTAATATTTATGTAATTATATTTAAAAATAAAGAACTTATTATTTTTATTTAGTTTTAACAACAGAATAAATAATAATAATCTATATATTTTTTTGAGATTCCTCTTTATAAAACATAAAAAATTATAGGTAATCTATAGACAGATCGAAATTTCCCTTTAACGTTGTAAAAATTGATTATTCATTTTTCCACTTAAACAATTCGTTATCAGAAAAATGTATATTGTATTAATATATGTTTTAATGAAAATTATTACAATTTATTCGATTATTTAGCATTAAATATTCCTATATAAAATATTAAATAAGTATAGAGATGGCTTCTCTTACGTATACGTTACATAGTAATGTAATTTTATTTTCTGTTGGTCTCATATTTTTTCATTTTTTGCAAGATAAACAAAGTTTTGACGAATTTACACCTTTTTCTTATCAGCTATTGTATATACTTTTCTTGATACCAAGCTACAATAAAAGTTTTTGAAATGTCTGCGATACTTTTCGATAAAGTATATCCTTTGGTTAGATTCGTATATTTTATACAACGAATATATAAAATATCCACCATTTTGTGCAACAGAAAGTAATATCGAAAATCCAAAAGAAAATCCGTATGGTCGGTTTTATGTAACAGAGATTTTTCGATTTTCAATGGCTACGGTTGTGTGTCCTTGACACGTTCCTAAAATTTTTTAAAAACAATATATCAAGAAAACGTCAATACTATCGAACATGCTTACAAATCTGTTCACAAGATATAAACAAGTCCAATTTTAAAGTGAAGAAATCGAAGATGAAGAAGTAGATGATTGAGTGGCTTCCCTGCACAACATTCTTAAAGCTATGATGGAAAGCCCAACATTCATTAAATAAATGTTTTTCAATTAAAGAAAATTTAAATATTATAAAAATATTCTACAATAATAATAATAATAATAATAATAATAATTTAAATTATGGCGAATGTATTTTTATTATCAAAATTAAATTAGTAAATTATTAAAGTTTAATAAATTCGTATCAGATATATTTTATTCGAACTTGAAAGTCTGTTTCTTATGAAATTTTGGAAGTAAAAATTGTCTAACTTGTAAGATAACTGCTTAAATTGACTCATTTTTAACTGAAAACTGTCTTAATGTTCTTCGATATTTAACTCTGAGAAAAAAATGACATTGAAACTACACTCTCGTTTCCATCATTACAATATTAGACTGTTAACCCAGTTTTTCTATCGTCTTTATCTCTTATTACCACGCCCAAATTCCATCTTAACCTTGTTCATACACAAACCTGATATCAGGTTGAACCATCTGACGATAATTATGACGTCACAGGCAATTGTCCAGTTTCTAAGTGAGAAAGGAGTACTCAATTACCTCAGGCAAGTGATGACAACAACATTCATAACACTCGGTAGCACCGTTATTAATCACTTCTATAAATTGGATCAAAGTAGATAAAAAAAAACTGAATGTAATACATTTTATAACAAGGTTTAATGTTACTTAGATAGCGTTTAAACGGTTTAAAATATATTTTTTCACGTGTAAAATATAATTCTTTGTACATTCATTCACGTATTACAATACAATTTTTTCATGAATAATAATGTAATTTATAAATAGCGGTATATTTCCGTCACGTATAATAATGGTATTTGTCTTTTATGAATGCTTTCACGGAAGAATGTATAATTTTTTATATTTTTTTTTAAATAAAAATTTAGCAGAGGAAATTATATAATGAAAGATATCTCTAAGCTACGGTTTGAAGATCAAATTCCTAAATACAAAATCGATACAAGTTAAGACAAACAAAAGTTAAAAGAAGAAATTTACTGTAACCACGTAATTATAACTCGATTAAGTTTGCTATTAGAAAATAAATAACATATTTCTACCAGGTATTTACTTAAGGATCTATAATTAAATTTCCTATATAAGTTATATATGTATATATATACAAACACAAACACACGCACAAACTTTAACGATATCACTTAATGCATATAAGTTTCAAGTCATAAAAATAAGAGAAAAATGTAGCTGAAGGGTACAATAAAATTTTTTAAATAATGAATTTGAACAAAGGATATCTCAGCTTAGGAATTTTTGCCTGATACACTTCAATAGAAATAAAAGATTGCCTGCGGCTGATGAAATTGCCTGAACGAAAGCAATGATATCAAGTCATTGAGCTGTTTCGATGCCACTCGATTGGTCTCGTAAAAGAAAAAAAAAATGATGACGATAACATGAAAATATTGTGTAGGGAGGTTGTTTTGAAATGTATCTATGCCACAAACTCATTTAAGGAAAGTAATGTTAAAAACAGTGCATTTT